TTGCGTGTGTATACTCCGCAAGTATACATACGCAAGTATGTGTGTATACTTGCGGAGCTTCTTTGAATACCGTTAAGTGCACATAAAACAGATTACAGCAGGGAAGAAATCCTTTTATCTCAATGAAAGCCAAATTAAAATAGTGTTTGCCTAAACCCCTCCTACACTGATATTATTTTATACTATGTCATTATTGGTCGATTTCTTAAATTAATTGTAGAATTACGACCAACAATGTTTATTTCTACTATGTGAGCCAACACTGGGCTTTATGAAACAGAACATTTCCTCATTCTGCTGAGTTCCAGTGTTTTCCTCACTCGTCCATGGGCATTCACCACATGGCTCAAAGCCAGAGAAACACATTTACATTTTTGCACATCACTTACATTCAGTTTAGCAATTTACTATTATTATTATTAACAATAATGTCATTGTTTAAATTGGATGACTCCCTTGCTATCCTGATGTACCTTAACCTTTTGAAAGCTACGCGTCACTGTGAGAGGTCGAGATTGTGTTTCATCAATTTAGTCTCTGGCGCCCCTTTGTGGTAGAAGGGAATTAATGGTTTTTAATGTATAATGCCAGATTATCGTAGATTTACCAGAAGTATTAACAAAGCACGTTGGAAAAATATAATAAAGTAAAAATATATATACATATATTATCAACTCTTATGAACGCAGAGTTGACTAAAGCTGTCGAAGCAGTTTGATCAAACGAGACAGAGTTTAAGACACTTGGTAATAATGCAGATGTTTTGGTAATAAACTTATGCTTCTAAACTAAACAATAAAATGTGTGTGCGTGTGTGTGTGTGTATGTGTGTCGCTGCCTGCGTGAAAATGTGTGTGTTCGTGTGTGTGTGTGTGTGTGTGTGCATCTTGGGGGCGGATGGGGGAGGTGAGGGTCTCTACACAGCTGGAAAGTGCCGGTATAACTTGATTCCAATAAAGCAAACGATAGTTTTACCAAATTTACAAGATTTACTTTATAGAGCTTAGCAAAAGTGAAAGCACTCGAATCTGACGTACACTGCCGCGTTATGGGCGTAGACGTATAAGAGAATGTATAGCCACGTTATCTGTAGAAAACAATCAGAGCGCGACTGTGGGTTACTTTACATTTATTTTTCCGCCTGTGCGCGTCCTCCATCACGTTCTATACTGGGAACACGATGTTACAGTATGCAACGCTGACATGAAGCAAGGGAGGGGCTGCTGCAAACCACACTGATAGAATGAATGTAAAGAGCCTAAAGAACACTTCCTGTTGATGCAAAAATTGCAGCAGCAACTGTCTGACACATCTGGACTGGAGAGGGGGGGAGGCCTGGCTGTAGCGTTAGCGAACCACTGAAGGGAATGGACAACGTTTAATGCTAATCTGCAAGACGGTGAGTTTGGTGGACTTAAGATCTGGCATGGACTGGTGACCATAAATACGCTTGTAAAGTCGGCTCTTCTGTGCTCTCGCAGTGTGAGTAATGAGGAGTTATTACCCGCGACCGCTAGCAACTAATTGCTAGTTAACGTTAGCTCCTAGCTAGCACTGGTCGCTACTGAGCGGTTGCTCCTAAAGCTAGTTCTGTTAGCATAAGCTAACTAGCATGATACCGCTTTCATATGACAGCCTACATAGTTTGTGTTCGTTTTCGACGTTGTTGCCTAGTTAAATCGTGTGAGGGTGTCAAGCTTTTTTAAAGCCACAGAAAACGTGTTCAGCTCGTTAGCTTACACAGGAATAAAGTCTCTTTGAAAGTTATGTATTTTTTTTCTGGAATAAAGCTCGATTCCAGGGTAGCTAATGTGGCTAGTTAGCCGCTGCTTGAGCGGTGCTTGATACTTTTGGATGTCTCGGCCCGGTGAACTGAAGCAAATTTGTAACCCACCTTAATCTAACTAGAAGATACCGCAGAAGTGAGAAGCAGGGGAGATGTAAACAGAAAGCCGGTGGCTGTAAATTGTCAAGCTAGCGCTAACATTAGCTGCTCCGCAGAGTAGACCCCCCCCCCAAAAAAAAATCAGTAACTACCAACGAAGCGTTTGCATTAAAGTTTGAGACACCCTGCATTTGCTCCGCAATGGAAAGACATGCATGTGCGGTTAGATAGACGCTGCATGCTAATATTCTCCCATGCACATACCAGGCTGACACAGGTAAAGGGTGCTCATAATAAGTTAACGCACCAAATTAGCTGTAACAGTACGATTTATTTTTAACCCTATTGTTCGTTCCCAGGGTGGCATCGGTCCCCCATTTATTTTACATATTAGATAGTAGCCTGCATCTAATTTCGTTTTCATAAGCCAGGTTTTAAACATAAAGACTAAAGAACATATCAATGTAGCAGGGCTCTTTGGAAAAGTCGGTGCCTACTAACTTATAGTGATGTTACAACTGTGAAGGGCAAAGTGCAGAGACATCATGGCGAGCTGTCAGACACATTATAAGGAATACCTGGGTTCATTGTCACCAAGCACTTGTGCTTATTGCTGTTATCTTATATTTTCCATTTAAATATGTTGATAATTTACAAAGAAACCACCAACTTGTGTTATTCGTTAATAACTATATCGGAAAACAGTAGTAATATCTTATATATTACAAGTCATGTTAGAACAGAGTGGAATTAATACAGTTACAGTTGGCAATATGGTTTAAACCCGCCCAACTGTCCGCTTTTGTTTTTTGTTTTCTTTGCTTTGCTTTCTGTTTTGGAGAACAGCAATATTGCGTTATGAAACACAAGACAGTTAGCAGGAGAGTTAGCTATGTACATTGTTATATGCTAAAACAGGGCTCTGTGTTGTAACCTGGTCATTTAGAAGATTATTGGGGCATAAATATAGTGACTGCCTGTAGTAATTTTGTCTGTTTCAGATACATTACAGTGCCATGCAAATTTCATAATAATAATAATTTCTCCACTGTGTTTTTCTCATGATTTGTGATGTTTATCTCTCAATTCTTTATATAAATGTTACTGTGTTGATGTTCTTTTATATTATAACCTAAACTCTAATATTTTCTCATGCATTTACCTAAATTGTCTTACTAAATTGTACAGTATTTATAACAAAGTAAAATGTAGACATTCGATAACTGCTTTGCTACCATCAGTAGGTGTAACAGTGTAAGAACTGTAGATTTGCTCCAGGTATAAATACAGTGTAGTGAAGTGATGGCTCAGCTAATTGCTGCTGGTCATTAAAAGTGTTGTTCATATGATGTAGAAAATTTGTCAGGGAATGCGTGACAACTGATTCAGAAAAGGAAAAGTCATAAAGTATTGTTGTGTGTGTGAACTGGGTTGCCCTTTAACTGAACCTGGCACAAACAGTTTGTGCAAATTTTACTGTACAAGGTTGTGTGTGGATCAATAATTGTTGTAACACTGCAATAGTGATAAAGATTATACTGCTTGAAACCCTGTTTATTCCCCCCTAAATGATGACGCCTTTGTAAGGAAAATGCATTTGTGGGTTGAGCTGCTGAGTCAAGGATGTTGGTTGCACCCATGAAAATCTTGACAGTGGTTTTTATCATAGACTACCTCCAGAATTTGGGAGTGGAGAGGGTTGAATGGGCTTCCTGCAGTCCTGACCTGAATCCCGTTAAACACTTGTGTGATAAACCTGGGTGTCCAGTTTGTGCCAGAGTGATCAACACAGCCCCTCTGGCTCACCAATGCTGGTTTAAGCATGGGATGCCATCCCACAGCAATGTGTAATCAAGTTGGTCACCAGCATGAGGAGTGGGTGGCAGGCTGTTCTGGCTATGTATGGTTCTTCCAGGTGCTACTGAGACCCCAGTTTGTTGAATTAAGCCCCTTTTCCATTAGGATCGACTTGGCACAGTTTGCCATGGTTTCCAGGGTTTTCCATTAGGTCCAAGTACCTGGTACCAGGTACTTTTTTAGTACCTTTAGCAGGTTCTAAAATATCACGTCGTCAGACTGCATGGCACCAATTAGCTGGTCAGTAGTGTCACTAGGATGAGTCATGAGAGCGTCTAGTTGACGAAAATCAAAACCGCCATTTTTGTTTTCCGCGAGTCTGATGAAAAGCCACAGACCAAACACCAGGTATGTTCCTCCCTTGACATCCATCTTTGTTGTAACATTCCTGTCGCATATTAATTATGTCGCGGCACGCTCCTACACGTTGCCATGATAACGACTGCACAAATCAGGAGGCACTAAATTGTAATGGAAAACCATTTGATCTGAGAGGAGTCGAGTCCATCTGAGTAGGTACTAATGGAAAATGGGCTTTAATTGTAATTGTTGAACTGCCAATAACTCTCATTTCTTCATATTTTAATTATCCAATCTAATAAACAACACCAAACAAGAGTCAATTACAGAATAAGCTGTTTGGCACTGGCAGAGAAGATTTGCCAAGTTTTTCATGGGTGCAACACATATACTTATCTCTGCTGCTCAACCCAAAAATTCATTTTTTATAGGAACATGGCACCATTTAAGAGGAAATAAGCAAACTTTCCAAAATTACAAGATGTATTGCAAAGAAGCATTGTTACAGTAAAGAATTAACCGACTAAACACAAATATCCTTACCTTTTGTGCTAAGGTTAGTTACTCTTAACTAAATTCTTCAGCTGCTGCTTGTAGTGAATGCATATGATGAAAAAGGAACGATAACATTAACCTCCTCGTATGTTATCTTGAATCTTATCTTTGGGGAGCACACTGTCACCAACAAGTCATGTGAATGCTTACATTGCTGTATGATTGTGTTAGTCAATTGTTCCTCATTAGTGGTTTATGAATGTAAGTATTTTGTGTGTATGTGTGTGTGGGGAGGGGGGGAGTGCAGTAAGATTATAGATATGGATGGTTTCTGCTATAAAGTTTTCCACTGTGTTCATCTCATAAGCATGTGAGTAGGCAGAAACGAAGGATGAGCATTTTCGTGAATTCCACTTATGTACTGCAAACAAATTTAATAAGCGAAGACACCCAAAGGCTAAGCATCCAATATTTAGCTCTGCTTTCTGATATTTTACTAAGCCTTAACGTTTTTCAGAATGTGCCTTATTTTCACTCCTAAGAGTCTCACATCGTACCCTCCCCTAGGTGTATCACAATTTAGTTTATTTTTGTGTATCTATACATACATATATATTTTAAAATCTCATTAAAAATGCTCCCCGAGCCTTTTGCTTGTGAGGCACTTCTGTCCTGATGTTGAAGAAAGCATACAGTGTTTGCCTGCTGACTTAGACTTTCAGTGAAATGGCAGCATTTTAGAATCCAAACTTTGTGTGACATCTTTCCATCCCTGTTAAGCTGATGTTTTGGTTATGTAGAATATCCCTTTCTTTTTTTACCTGCCTACATTAAGCAGCTGTGTCAGATTGGTCTATTACCAGACAAGGAACTTGAGCCACAGATGTAATTTTTGAGCTGAGTTTAAACATTTTCAGCTTTCCCATGTGAGCCAAGCATGTGACCCTTACTCAGCATGTGCATCTCAACTACTGAGCATGCATTCTTTGGCTGCCCTTCCACTTGGCTCCTTCTCACATGCATGCTGTTGGCAGCCATTTCTAGAATCTTTTTTTTTTTGCGCATGTGTGTATGAAGATGTTGTATTTGAATGCTGCCTATGGAGGAAGTGAAACTAATGCATGTCTGCTTTAGGGTTCTTTATGTTTTGTTACCACTTCTCCTTTCCTAAACCAGGATGACGGCATATGGTTTGTTGGACAGGTGTCTTGGCACGCTTTGGCAACTAGATAAAGTGTTTATGTTCCCAAAGTGCTGACAGGGACTAAATGCACAGAAGATCATGCTGAATTGCCAGCAAGGGGGCAGGAGGGATGGAGGAGGTGCAGAGGGATAGATTATTTAAGGGCAGATGGAGTTGAGAGGGAGGAAGTCTATTCTGGAGAACTGACACACCAGTTAAGGTTTGCAAGATAAATGTATTCGCTTTTACAAACATAAGTGTTCCCAGTGTTGTTTAACTAGTTTGTCTAGGAAAGCAGGATTTCCATTTGTTGATATTTTTTAATCCACCTTAAATCAATATATTATTGTTGAAGCTTAATGTGCCAGTTGTCAACATTGGCCCCTCCACTTTGATGGGGGCATGAAAGTGAAACCCTGAAAGTTGTAACTTTTAGGTTGTAAACCTTTTAATTTAGCTATTGGAGGTGTGCTCATCAAGAAAGAAAAGCTCAAACAGCAAATTTAAAAAACGGCGTACTTCCTCATGCTCATGTTAGGTATGAAAAAAGGTTTTTCTTTTTAACAACGGTTATCTTGCGCTCATCTTCCAGGCAGAACCAGATTTTCTTCTTTCTCTGCCAAACAAGGTATACACATATCTTTATGGCACGACTAACTGCCTGATATAGCACAGTGCAGTCAGTGTATGCGGGACACAGGAACATAATCTCTCTATCACTTTCATTTCTTAGAATTACTTTACTTTCAACTCCCTCTTTACTAGCAGCAGCGAGTAAGTAGTAAATGTAAGGAACTTTAAAGACATTAAACTATAGGACAAAGCATGGGAAACTGAAATTCTCTATTCAATAATAATTACACTTTATTAACTTTACATGTTGCCTTCCAAAATGACCAAGATATTCAGCACTCCTACTTTACACTACTATGGACTATACGAGTTGCCCATTTCCTAAGGTATTTCCACTATTGTGTTTGAGTGTTGTTATGATGTTGTTTTCTTGAAAAGCTGTCTCTGGTCTGTGTTTGACTTTACTTTCGATATGTACCTCTCCTCCGCACATTTTTCCAGAAAGTGTGATGTTGTATTTACTGTCAGGCCTTAGTTTGCAAGGGCTGTTACCTAGCTTGCTTCCCATGCAGGTCAAGTGCATTGTGTCACTTTATAACTGTAAATGCATGTCAGCAGAGCAGCAAGTCTGGACAAACTGGCAGCCGTTTGAGCTCACTTGTAGCCGTTTGAAATGACTTTTTTTCAAATGACTTGAAGTTCTTCTCTGAGGTTTTTACGTAATTATTTTCTGAAGATTTTAGAGAGCTTTTGAGATCTTCCCATGATAATGCTACATTCTTCAGAGCTGAAAGAATGAAATCAGATTCCACATTGTTCATTTTCAAAGCACCAACCATCCAGACATTACTTCAAAAACATGGTTTCATCTCATTGTCTTCTTTTGACCATATCTGTTGAAATGAATTGTTTGTTTGGTGGTTTATCTGCAACTGAGCAGTACAGTTGCAAGTGCTCTGGCCAGGACTAACTTCCCTTCATCATAATTACTGACATTTGGGATCTTTTTGGTGTCTGTCCATCTGGGTTTTAGATATACATTTACAGTAGGCTCAGGTGTTGTCAACAGCTGTAGTCTCTTATCTTCTCTCTGCTTCACATGTCCTACTGTCCAAGAAATTGATAGAACGTTTTTAGAGGAGACGTTCCCAAATTGAAACTAAAGCAAGTTGATGTGTCATCCACAGCACAGACAGACTGGGAAAAACCTGACAGAGGACTATCTAACAGTCACATCAGAAGAAATAAATGGTAAATGGACCGGTTCTTATATAGCACTTTTCTACTCAAACACTCAAAACACTCCATAAAACATGCCTCATTCATCCAGAGTTTCTTTCTACACCTAAGTGTGTTCAATCTAAAATTCACAACCATTCACACTACACCGAACAACTTGGAGAGCAACTTGGGGTTCCGTATCTTGCCCAAGGATACTTTAGCCAACAGACTGGATTATTCAGGCTTTGAACCACCGACTTTCCGATTAGTAGGTAAAACTGCTTTACCTCGTGATCCACAGCCAACCCAAAGCCATGGCTGACAATCTGATAATTGCCTCGTTGCTGTAATTTATTGCAGGGGCACTGTTTTGGCAAAAATTTAAGTGAGCTACGTGGTTCAACCAAGCATCTTTTTTCACATTGTATTAAGCACTCAGTTTGTGCTACTTTTAAACAGCATGTGTGTGCACATACAGGTTGAGAAATGGCTATTAAGAAATGGCTTTGGTAAGGCACCTAAGTTAAAATTTGACATGTCACAATCAGTCCAGCAACTGGCAGCGACAGTTGCATTCCTAGACAACCGTGTGTGTGCATGCAGTGCAACCAAAAACCAACTTTTAGTCAATTCATCCAGTTGCCTGTGGCAGATATATTAGTCTAGTCACCATAATGCATATGTAATTAACACAATTATTATTCACATATTCATGTGTGTGGTTAATGCCAATGAGAAAAGCATAAAATCTTGAATGTTTGAAGGTTGTTAGGGTAAAGAGTGAACTTGAAAGAAATTGGAATCTATCCATCCATTTTCTCCTGCTTGTCTGATAGTAGAGTTTATTTTTTGTAAAATTTTAAAAATGCTTTGAGGAGCAGTTTTAACCTACTTAACATTATAATGTTAATGAAGGTATGATTTAGTGCAGGGCTTGAATGACATGGCATTAGTTTCTGCACAAAGCTGAGTGTATACATGGCCCAGTGCTTTTTTGTACCTTGAAGCTATTAAAATGTTGCAGTTTAATATGACAACATCTGATATTTTGTCTTTTTTCTTCTCCCATCAGGCTGTCAACAAACTGGAGAAACGTATACAAGAAATGGACGACGGCAGCTACATCGAGTTTGATGTGCCGGAGTTCAGCAACACTGTTCTGACCCAACTCAATGAGTTGCGGCTGCAAGGGAAGCTGTGCGACATCATTGTTCACGTTCAGGGCCAGCCCTTTCGAGCCCACAAGGCCGTGCTGGCAGCTAGTTCACCCTACTTCCGTGACCACTCAGCTTTGAGCACCATGAGTGGCCTTTCCATTTCAGTCATCAAAAGCCCTGAGGTGTTTGAACAGCTTCTTGCTTTCTGCTACACAGGTCACATGTCCCTGCAGCTCAAAGATATTATCAGTTTTCTCACCGCTGCCAGCTTTCTGCAAATGCAGGCAATCATTGACAAGTGCACCCAAATCCTGGAGAGCCTCCATTCCAAGATCAGCCTCCCAGTTAGTGTCAGCAGCCCAGAGAAAGACAGCTTGCAGACTAGCCGCAACGGGGTCAATGACAGCAACCTCTTCATAAATCCCACCCAGATCTCCCCCCCTTACTACTCCCGACAGAGTCAGGCAGGGAATGAAGTGCGCTTGGAGCTGGGAGGAAAAAGCATGGGCCGGGTGAGACAGCAGCAAGAGGAAGGCCACTCGGATCGTGGCAGTAGTGATAGTGTGTCAGAGCACGATGCGCCCGTGGAGGGAGAAACAGAGCAAGTGGAACTGATTGGCAAAGATGGGCAAGTAACAGATGTGCATGTGAAGATAGAAAAGACCGATAGGCCCACTTACTCAGACAGTTCCTCAGCTGGTGATGATGGCTATCACACAGAGTTGGTGGATGGAGACCAGGTAGTGGCTGTCACTGTGGGCTCTTATGGTCCTGTAATCCAGCCTGCTTCCTATTCTTACTCAGGGCTGTCCTCCCCGTGCTTTGTCAACCTCAGCAACACCAGTCCTTCCCGCTCCATTCTCAGTGGCTTCAGAGGTGGCCGAGCCAGGGCAAAGCGCCCGTTGGCTATCCCCGCAGGGGTGCTGAGTCATATTAAACCAGGCTCAGACGATGGCGAATCAACTGTGGGACCCACAGGGTTGGAGAACGATGTGCGAGAACGTAGCCTACGGAGCCAGTGGTACCCTTACAATGAGAGACTCATTTGCATCTACTGTGGAAAGACCTTCAATCAGAAAGGGAGCCTGGACCGCCACATGCGCCTGCACATGGGAATCACCCCATTTGTTTGTAAATTCTGTGGCAAGAAGTACACAAGGAAAGACCAGCTGGAGTACCACATCCGTGGCCACACGGACAACAAGCCCTTTCACTGTCAGATCTGTGGGAAATGCTTCCCATTTCAGGGCACCCTTAACCAGCACCTGAGGAAGAAGCACCTGGGAGCATCAGAGGGCAGCAATCACATGGACTCTCCAGAGAGGATGGAGGGAAGCTCAGGTCAGAAGGACCAAGAAGATACGTCTGAGGGGATGGCCTTTGAGGCACAATATGCAGAAGAGGCACCAGCCAATGAAATGGAGGAGAGTTCAAAGTGCAGTCCAGAGGAGGCTCAAGCATCAAGATGTGATTTTTAGGTCCTGCTTCAGGTTAAGGAAGCTTTAAGAAATGTTTATTTCAGCGCAATTTAAAGGACTCTCCTCTTTTTGAATCAGCTCCCGCTACTATGGACCTTTCTTTCATCGAGGGTTTCTGTCAGTTTTGTGAAAGTTAGATGCTAAATACAGAGAAAAAATGGGTGCTTTATAGAAATCGGATTCTTTCAAGTAAAGGGAGTAACGACTTACTATTTTTAAGGTGGTCCCAATAATCAAGACCCCCGGATTGATTTCTCTTTTTATCTTTCCATGTTTTTTAAAACATATTTACAGAGTTATATAGGCATGTTGCAATAATTGATAATGTGAAAGCTCTGGTAAGATGCTTGTCATATCACCTTTTTACCTAACCTGTTTTTGCACATGTGGCCACAGGAGGCCACTTACACACAAGGAATGATTTTTCTGCCAGTGCAAAGCTTCATGTGACATATCCGTTCAATACCTCATGATGCAACTACATACTCATAATAGACAGTATTTTAACTTAAATGAAACTCACCAGGTTCTACCTCATAGCCAAGAACCTACCAGGCACAGATGTGTTCAACGTTTAAAATCCGTTCTAGGTTTTTTGTACAGTATCTTATTGCCAAACCCTGTAAAGAATATTCTTTCAACACAAAGCCTTGATACTTAGGGGAAATATTCCTTGCTGATTGTATGGATTAGGGACAAAGTCCTTGTCAAATGTTTCATGGTTAGCCAGGATAACATGATTAAGAAGGTGCTATGTTATGAGTAGAAAGCTTGCTGGCCTACTTGTGTGCTATTGGGCAAATATGGAGAGCAGAGTAAGAGAAATTTCTCTGTTATTTTTCAAGATAAAATTTCTTTCTTCAAAACACTTCAGGATTTTATCTCTCATCACTACTGGAGATCTCACTCTGTCAGCCTAGGCGTGGTTTTAGATGCTGCCATCCATGTAATGGATGAATCTCATCCATACAGTGAAGTAATTTGTATTCCTCTATATCCCCTGTATGAGGTTTATTCAGAACTATTGTATATGTTTTTTGTTTTTTCCTGGGGTAGGCTTCCAGTCTGATACTCAGTGTCTAACAGAGGCAGGGAGTACTCATTGTAAACTCAGCACACCAGGAACAGCTCTGGATGTGTTCACCTAAATCACTATAATATACTAGTCTGAACAATATGCAAGCAGAAAGAACAAAGGAATCTCAGCCATTGTGACATGGTTTTTCTTCCATTATTTGAAAGAGCTATGGGTTTGTTTTCCATTGTGTCCTCTACAATTGGACAGTTAATCTGTGATATTCATTTTCTGCATTGTTCAGGGTCAGGTGCAGACTTGTAACACGTTTTCCTCATTTTGTCAAGCCCACTTTATGGTATTGTCAAGGTTAAGAGGTAAATGTTTTAAGAGGTAGCTGATGATCCAAAGTATCGATGCACTTTGCAGAGTTAGCAGTTTGGGTGAGTGCTGTCCCAGTAATAAAATGTGCTAATCTGTCTTAATTGTGATGATTTTTACTCTGAGTAAAAATGTCTTGAGCTTTGATGAGACTCTGCAATCACATAAATACTTTTGGCTACAAGTCACATATATGGTAACATTGCATTTTATCTATACTATTTGAATTACGGGGATGGGGTGTTGTGGGAATATAGAGATTTATTTCCATTGTGATTTAAAAATTCATATTCACATTTAAAAGGCCTGGTTGATGATTAGAATTTGCTAATTTAAAGCTCAGCTGGGTGGTTTCTTTTGTGCTATTTTTTGCTTTCTTACTTGCCATCCAGCTGGTTAATGCCTTTATTTTTGAAGAGCACCTGCTTTATGCTTTTATTTTGTCCCAACTGGTCCATGCTGAATTTGTGTCAATGAATTGAGAATTGATTGACAATTTTATAGTTTTCATATTATTTCCTACGTTGTGTGCATTTGGTGGGAGAATCTTGTGTTTTGTTGCATATGTCAGATTTTATATTAAGAGTGCAGTCCTTTTTATTCCTTTGAATGTGCATTTGTCGTCTTTGCTCATCGACAAACCAAAATTTGGATAATTTTGCAAAATCGGTATAGCTAGCTTTTCATTGTCTTTAGTGTACGAATTTATCACAAACACTCTTAATCACCACCACCAATGTCTGTCTGTCAGCATATACAGTACTTTTTTAGATGAATGTTTTCCAAGTCAAGTATATTTTTGTCAGCGGGCGATGCGCGCAGGGTTGCCAGCTGATCTGACCTCAACAAAATCAGTTTCTGATTCATGTTAACCTCACTACAACAATTCTTGCCCTTTATTTGAAGACAAAACAACAACAACAAGCATTTCTTCTTGGAATATTGTCAGCAAGGTTTTGTGAATAGGGTACAAACTGCTAAAATATTTTTGTGCCAAAAGACAACACCAAAGACTAATAGGGGATGATTTTTTTTTCTGGTAAATTTTGGCTGGATTGTGTAATTGAATGCTCGTTAGGAAGAATAGGTTCTTAATTTAATGTGAGACTAATTCATTGCAATTTGCAAAAGAATGTATGTTTCCCAGCTTATAACAATCACTTGTGTAGAAAATAAATAAATGAACAAGCAGAAATTAAGTAGCAGAGTCATAAATAACATAACAATACTAAGCCATAAAAACAAGGTATAAAAGTTGTGCAGTAGGTAATGTAATTGTTTAAAGCCAGTGTAAAAAAGAGAGACTGCTTCACAACAAGTGGCATCTTAAACTTAGTGCCTTGCCACAAGCTTTATGTTTTAGATTCTGGCACTTGGATTTTTGTGCCTCTTTACTTTTGGAATGGATTAAATGGAGAGATTATGATGAAATATGGCTGCATCTTTTATTGTGAAGTGGAGCCAAGAATGAATAGAAATTAAGTCATGTCATTCTTGTCCATTTTGTACTAGTCTACTTAAGCTCTGCCCCTAATTTTCACTTGCTATCACTGGATTTTTATTTTGTTTTATTAATCTGTGACATGATGGGCAACTGATTTTAAAGCGTAACTGATTTTGTAGCATTTGATTACAATCAGATGAGGCAAACTTGTTCCCTGCAAGCCGCTGCCCTATAGTCAGAGGCTATACTAAATCCCCTCCTCTTTAACGATCGAGGACAATCTAAGCAATGTACTGTAGTTTATGCATTTAAGTAGAGACAGGAGATGCATGAGAACAGACAGGATATTTAGCTGATCGTAAACTGAGTATTTGTGCAGAAAAATATCTTACCTACATATACTGTAGCTGAATTGCACGCTGCTCAGCCAAAAAATTGTGTACAATTGCCAATTTTTTAAAACTTTTTTTTTCTGTCATTGATTGTGCACTTACTTTTTGTTGTTGTTTTTTGGTTAAACGTTCTATCCAGTTCTACCAGTTCTAAGTTCTACCAGTTCTATCCGATGAGTCTCCTTTATCTCTGTAGTTACCTGTTAGGGACTCAGTTATCTTAAAGGCCTCAATCACTTCTGTAAGGACCTCTCCCCTCGAATGGTGCTTTGAGATTCAGTTTTCTGTCCTCAGTAAGTAAGTCCATGTTTTTGTTGTAGGTGAACAGGGGCGTAATTGTTTAAATGTTATTCATGTATCATAGTTATGTACGTGGCAGTACACACCTACAAAAACCAACTAAACTTGATAGACACTCGAATCGACCGTCTTCGTCAGCTTGTAGTTCCACCTCGCTGAGAGCGACAGGATATGCATTTTGGGCCACAAGTATTCAAAAAGAAGTGTTTACAAGGCTGTCAGACTACTTTGTGTTTTTTTTTTTCTTTGTTTTTTTTTATTTTTTTTGCAAACTTGCAACTCGTCCTGTTCCTTTTGTAAGAAACTCACTTCAGGTAGTTTACAAACACTGATACAGGCTTAGAAAAGAAATCGTAAGTCTTCCATAGCTTTTCTGTCAGTTTCTGTCCACTGTGTATTTTTTTTTTAATTTTTTCTTTGAAAAAAGAGAAGCAATAACCTTTTTGAAAGTGAAAGTGGTGTATTGGGATCATCAAACCCTTTGAAATATTGGCCTGTCATGTATCAAACAAACTGAAAGTCAGGGAGCTGTTGAATTGAAGTAGGACCAGGACAATTTGATATCGATTTATTTTTTATATATTTTCTGAAACTCTGGACAGGTTGACTTCTTGTTTTTAGAAAAAAAATATGAAAGTGAAAACGCGGTTGAAATGCTCAATTGAAAATCCAGTGGTAGTTGGTAAACTGCAACACGAGAACTGAGCGCGTGATTCAGTCATCAAACTCAGTGGCACTGTTCAGAGTTGCACCTCCAGCTGAGTGTAATAATGAAAGGGATTTTGGGCTATATAGCCACTGTTTGGGAGCGGGCTCTCTGTTGCTATGTTGAAGTTCAGTGGTCTCCTTTTGCTCCTCAGGCTCCGAGACAGTAGGTGCAGTTGTTCAGGATCAGAGGGGACGTTTTCAGTCTACCTGTTGTTCCTTTTCCTTTTTGAATCCCCCCTAACTCTGCACTAGTATGTCTCTGGTTCGTGTGCATTTGGTGACAAGGCAAAAAACAACATAAAAAAAAAAAAAAGTAGAACTCAGGGTATATAGCATTAAAAGTGGTCTCACTGGACATACGTTCTACCATATGTCCGTAGTATAATTGTGCACTTCTCTTCAGGTGGGGAAACAAGTCCTCGGTCAGTTGTTCCCAAACATTCTGCCTCAAGGTCTCAATGAGCCCATATTTTCCACAGAGCTGAAGCATGAGGTGCATTTGAGCCCACGAACTGAACCATGATAGCAGAAATGCCTCCGCTCCTGTTTTGTCCACTCTACACACAACCTCACAACCCAACTGTGAACCTCAGAACTCTACTGTTTTGTACAACTATGAAGTAAATGAAGCTAGCTAGAGCTGATGTTGTATCTATTGCCATTTATGAATTTATTTTATAGCATGAAATAAAATATATTTATTCAAATTATATATTTTACTCATAATCATTCAGTGCTGCTTCATTTTGGTTCTTAAGCTTGTAAATTGCTTTTTTATTATATAAAAAATGTCAATAGAATAATGCGTTTGTAAAATAAAGACGCTGATTTGGCTCTGCTTTGTCTTTTTTTTGTTTTGTTTTGTTTCTCTTAACTGAACTGATTTATCAGTTGTTTAATATTAACTCTTTTCTTAGAAAACGGGGAAAAGGAGAACTCTACTCACCCACCCTTTCTTTATTTATTATGTTGAACAATGTTAAAATGCACTGCAGTGATTCTGTGTTACGCATGTGCAACTTTTACCCTCAAGAGGGAGCTAGAGAATAATATAATATCAGTTATGTCAGTATCAAAAGGTTACTGATTAGTTTGGAGAGTCGTAGAAAGGAGAGTATGTCAGATTCTTTGTGACTGAAAACAGGGAAATTTAATTTCACTTTTAGAATGTTAGAAAACTTTAAAGCAAACAAGGGGAAATATGAAAATTAAGCTACTTTGAGTTAGGTAAGCATAATTTTTTGTGATGCTTGTAGAAGTTGACAAACATGTAAAACAATAAACCTGATTAGTCTCAAATATTTTGATACATTTATCACCAACCCAGCTGGATTTCCAGTCAAAGTCTTTACCCAACTGAACTGCGTTGTTCTTCCTGTCCGTACTGTGTTAAGGTCATGGGAGCAATGTATACATTAAATGATAGTGCACATATGCGAAACCTGTGTGAGTGTCTGACATGTGTGTTGCTTTTGTGATAAAACATTGTCAGCTTCCTCTGTTGCACCTCGGTGAGCTCTGAGCGCATGTTAAACCTGTGTTTAACGTTGCTATACATTACACAGCGTGCTTCAACCTGTAGCCTGGATGGTTGACGTCACATTAGAAATATTAAGGACGTGTGAGACAAATGCTGACGACTTGAACGCTTTGACTTTTGCAGTGTTTCTGAACGGGTAACACATTTAACTTCCATTGCCATTTCAACAGCTGCCTCACACATGGAAAAATTGAGCCCCTTGGCTTTAAATACACTGGCAGATACCCTGAACAGTAAATAGTGAAAACCACAGATCAAAGTGATGTCTTAAAATTCCTTGTTTTGTCTTGTCCAAAATCCAGAGATATTCTCCTTATTGGCACGTGTGACAAAGACAAGGATCAAATACTATGTTGTAGGGATTATTACACTAGCTGCATACGCACCATGTAGTTATGGGTTTTATATGTGTGTACGTACACGTGAGAATAGGAGACCGTAATCATTCATTAATTCTGTGTGAGCTTGTGCAAGAATGCTGATTAAGCTTTCTTTTGAATTTGTTTACCACGCTTGTCAGGCAGTTTGTATCAGCTTGACATAAACTTCAATTATCTTTGGTAAGTAAATAACACAATACTTGGCAGTAGGTGATGCATCACTCGTTGCTGGAGGTTTTAATAAATTGGACGAATTATTTAAATGACAGCGTTATAGGACTGCAAAGACATGTGATCCTAAAATAACACCCTAAAGTGCTCTGTTCAGTGGAATAAGAGAATAAAAAGAACCACAAAATACAAGGCCAGGAACCCAGAGGTAGTCCCGTTTCCACAAGGCGTCTTTTGCTGCATTCTGTGAGTATGATGTATTGCGGCTTCGTAACACAAACTGAGCTGGATCCGAGTAAATAGTGGGTAGCTGTTTCATTAGTGTCAATATGACAGTTTTGGAGTTAGAATCTGATTGCTGGGTGTTTGTTGGACAAGTTGTTGGCTCAGTCATGAATACTTGCCTTGTATCATCTCACAGGCCACGAAGACTCAGCTACGGCCTAGAGTTCACAGATACTTCTGACTTACCTCCTCACTTAATCCCAAAGTGTTATATATGAAAGATAAGTGATGGAGTCTTTTTAAAGAAAAAAAGGACTTTATTCTGTAATACAGGTCTTGTTTGAATGAATTTCTTGTTTAAAGGAACCTAACTAACAACTCAGCAAAGTTGACATCTGTCCTCCTGACTCGAAACAGCACCATAACTCTTTAGGCCCAGTAGTATATGACTGAATAGATGTTACGAAAAACAAAGTAAGCAGTCAACCACAAGGCAAGGTTACAATCTTTCTTAATATCTTCATATTACAGAAGCTATGTGAAAGTTAATTACTGTTCCTTAGAATTGTTAGTCTGCCTGCTTATCGATTCTTCTTATCATTCTACTTGCACTTGCTACAATCGTCTGATTTCAGTTTGAATGGCTGAGTGAATATTTTTGGAAATATAGTACACTTTATCTTCTTCTAGCTGTTGCTCTGCTCTCACCCTTTCACATTAAATCTTCGCCCATTTTTGTTAGTTGAGGAATCTCTGAGCTTCTGCTTTCTTATATGTATGCCTTTGGAATATTGACATATAAAAAATGCACACTTTTAATCTCAAAAATGACCTAATAAGCGTATTTTTTCACGTGTGGAGCCACAGAAAGCACAGGTGATGAGAATACTGCGTCATCCTTAAATCCATGTGTGTTTTTCCTAAAGGTGGCAAGTCAAAGGCTCTGCTGGGAACAAGAACATTTACTGTGGCACTAGAGATACAGTAATGCCATTGTCATTGCTATGAATAACACCTGCAGTCCTGCTGCTGTGGAAAAACAATCTTAAAAAAGGCCCAGAGCTAGTGAACATAACTGCAAACTGGGGACTTCTCTTCAGGAAGCAGAGAAGACTGGAAGTGATTAGAGGACAAATATAAGCTTAAAGCCTCAAAACTCTGTCAAACTTTTCAAAAAGTGTCTTTTATCTTTACCTGATACAACAGAAAGTCGGAACTGGTTGAAGTAATGAAGAAGTAACTGAATACATGCAGAATACATCTGTTTATGTGGATAGTGCATTTTTATGCCAACTAAAGCAAGACAGAAATGCAGTGAGATCGGCTAAAGTGAGTTTTAATGAGAAACCACTCTGATGGTTAATCATGTGTGAAATTTTGTGGTGGGGGGGCGGGGTGTTTTGTTTAAATGTACCATTTGCTCGGGATGATATCATTTAAATAGATTTGCTGAGGCTCGGCTGAAAAGGTTCCAAAGCAACCTTTGTAGCATCTGTAACAGCTTTTTAAATAAACCTTTTGTAACTTGTGAGTTAGCGTCTTCGTGAGTTGGCATGAGATTAACAAAAAAAAAAAAAAATGAGAGTGAGAGGAACCTCTGTCAGATTCCCAGAAACCACTCCTTTTCCCACAGAAACCCTTTTATGTTGTTCATATTTTCCTTTATTAAAACTAAGTCAAGCTGTTTCAATGATGTTGATTCATGATCAGGTCATTTTGACTCACAGGAAACTTACGGTTTAGAGGCTGTCTTTGTGATAAGCGATTTGGCCACGACTTACAGTCATCTGCCCCTTTGTTTGGTAAATCTTGCTAGCACCAGGCCAGAGCCCGTTTTGCCTCCAGAACTGCCTTAATTGTTTGTGGCATAGATTCAAGGTATTGCAAAGATTCCTGAGCGATTTTGGTCCATATTAACACAACAGTATCACACAGTTGCTACTGATTTGTCAGTTGCACATCCATGATGTGGTTCATCTCAAACGGGCTCTGGTGACTGTCATTATAGATCCATTTTCAAGCCGAAGAAACTATTTTCAGATGATTTGAGCTTTGTGACGGCTCAAGATAATCATCAGCCATCAGAAGATACACACACTGGGACAGACATAGTTACACATATCATCCTAAACTGGTACTAATAGGTGCAAAATGCATCCCCACGCTATTACACCACTAATACCAACATAAACTGTTAATACAAGGCAGGATGCATCCATGTTTTCATGTTGTTTATCTCTAATTCTGACCCTGCTATCCAAATGTCGTATCAGAAATCGAGACCCATCAGATCAGGCAGCTCTGCTGAGCTTCCTGTTAGCTGACAGGAGTGGAAGCTTCAAGGTTTGACCTGTTGTGTGCTCAGAGATGCTCTTTAGTTACTGTTGGCTTTCTACATTCTCCTCTGACCTCTGGCATCAACAATGCATTTTTTGCCCACAAAAATGCCTGGGAACTGGATATTTTTTCGTTTTCAGACTATTCCCTGTAAACCCTTGAGATAGTTGTGCTTGACCATGTCTACGTGCCAAAATTCACTGAGTTGCTGCCATGTGATTGGCTAATTAGCTTTCTTATAGAGTAGACATCAACCAAAGAAATAAGCACTTTGTTTTTTTGACTTTTTTGTTTTTGTTGTTTTTTTTTTGTTTTTTTTTTGAGGGTTTGGTTAAGTATTTGGCAGCAATAATCCATCAGCTTTTTACAATATTAAATTAAATTTTAATAGTTTCCAACAGACATGCGGTGGCGCATGTTTTGCTTTTATATACCAATACACAAACATTAAGGATTTTGGATTCAGCTAAAAATTAATTGCTCTCCAAAGTCTGAATAATTTCTTGTAAATGAATTTAATGCCAGATAATAAAGAAGTTCGTATGTGGGTCTTTGTGTCCAGCATCTGTGAGCAATTATTGATTGAGGGAGCAGTGGAATAAAAATGCAGGGAGAACAGAGTTTGGCTTCTAGAGGTCACAGGTTCCACATGGGAAAAAAATTTACCGTGCACGAAACTGAAGCATCACTATCTTCAAAGATGCAATAAATTACACCGATAGAGATTTTTTAGTTTTCCATCAATAGAGATGCCATGCCTGCAGTATTTTTGGGGGGAGGAGGGGGGGGGGGGTGTCTTCGTATTGTGTTGCATAACAATTTCCATTGTGCTAAGGAAAATTCTTCTTGTTGACCCTTAAGAAATTTCCTCTGAAGGCCCAGCACAGAACTTGTAGACATTGTGGAAGAATATGAAACAATAGTCACGACATGTGCTCTAAAGCTAAAAGTAAATCTGCACATCTCCAAAGTTCAAACGCCGAGCTTTTGGAAAATGGGGACAATGGGAAAAACGGGGGGGGGTTATTAAATCCACCATAGTTAGACTGAATACGTATGATAAACAATGACGTGGCTATTCTTCCAAAGGAAAGCCTTGCCGCGTTATTATGTGTTTTTATTTTTAAGCTTCTCTAATAACTCCCATATGCATCACAATCATTTTACTTCAGCAATTAGGAAGGG